CCACCTGATTTGCATGACTCAAGTAGGCCCAGCTGCTTGCTACTGTTCATCAGCAGCCACCCTATGAAAGCTGGGTTGTTGTGCAGATAAAAAGTAGGAGAGAATAATGTAAGCTGTTTTGGTCCCCACTGTGGAGAAAAACAGTAATTTTCCTAGGTAGAGGCTGCGGGGGAGGGGGGTGGAGACGGAAAGCTGAAGACAGAGAGGCAGATAAAGGTAGGTTGGCTGTTGGGTGGGAAGGAAATTGTGTTGTCAACTCCAGGTTGGGAAATTCCTGGACATTTGTGGGGTGGAGCCTGGGATTTGAGGAGGGGAGGAACTACAAATCAGTATAATGCCATAGACTTCACCCTCCAAATCATACATGGAGGCAAGAAAGAAAGAAAGAAAGAAAGGGGGGGAGAGAGGTAGAGGGAGACAGGAGGAAGCAAACGTGTGAGGAATAGGATAACCATCACGCACGTTTCTTGCGGGTCTCCACTTGTATCTTTCTAATGCTAACACCTTGTGATTGGAGATTGGGACAGCACAGAATAGCAAGAGCCTGACTGCAACTTGACTGCTTTTTCTACCACCACCCAAATGTATGGTCCATTACGGTACAGTTCTGGCCACCACTAGAGAACAGCGTTATTTGTTGTATAAAGTCTTCAACAAGCAGAATATGTCCTTAAGTCATGATCACCATGGGTTTTTTTGGATATTGCCTCTTGATCCAAGGTCAACAACTTTCATTATCCCCTGCTTTACCCTGTATTTCTGCGGACAAAACGCTGCCCAGTCCACACACTCATCAGGTTTCATCCTATGCAGATGTCATATCCCTCCTCATCCCACTTCAAGCAGATAAATGACCCTTCAAGAGAGATAACACAACAAAACAGATCCTGCTTACTGGAATTATTGCAGTCCAGACACCAATAAAGAAGCTCACTCAATAACTGACATCTCCACATGTTAAAAACATCATGGTACTGGAGGGCTGAGCCACACACATGCCAGTTCAACATTTAATTCATGATTCCCATCTGAATATATGACCATCCTCCTGACTGAAGGATGTTAACACTGGGCAGTCTAGAAGTTCTGTGATGATAAAGATTTTTCCTTGAGGCTATTTATCAGCGAGGAAGATGACACATGGATGAAATTGCACTAAGAATTCTTAGTTTACAAGTATTTTGCAATTCTTGCTCTCCTAGGATGACCTCATGTTTTTTGTTTTAGCAGGTCGAAATGATTACACAACACTCCCATGTTACAGAGCAGTCAGCTGCTTCTGATTTGTGCCTGAAGCAACAGGAAACCATGAAGGTGGGACAAAAATGTTGGTTTGCAGGAGCACCTTGCTTTGCACCAAGCATTATCATTCAAATGTTGTATTTTGGAATCTGCTTACTGATTGACTCAATAGTTCTATCATGCTTGCAAACCACCTTGAGTCCAACTCTTACATCACACCCAATCATAAAAAACGCAATCCAGTAAGGGTCTATTTAACTGGCTGCAAGATGCACAGTACCTTCATGTGCAGTTGACACTCATGCGCTCCTTAAACTCCCTCCTTCCCCCAGCCCAAGTGGCCAGGAAATGTCAAGTTTTCTGGGGAAACAATGCTCTAATGTGAAACATATAACCAGCAAAGATCTCTAGCAAAAGTAGAAAACACCCCTTTCCCAGTAGTTGGATATTCAATTAGGCACAGGATTAGCTCCTTTGTTTCTTCAAAGGAAACCACAGGAACAACAGACCCTCGAATTCACATAGGCAGATTAAACAAACAAGGGGTGCGGCCCTGAAAGTACAATCTATGACTAAACATTACCCAGACAAGGGCGAAGAGACTCATCTGAAAGCCTGCAAAGAGCTGCAAGTAAAAAATCTTGCTAGTATACCTGACAACAAGGAAATGTAGGTGGCCTCCAGTTGCTCACATTACAGAAAGACCAATTAGGGAACAGAAAGGCACAAGTTGGCAGTTTATACCTCCTTGCACTTCAAGGCAGATAATTGACTGAGACGGGTGAACAAAAACCTCTTTATATGAGACACTTCAGAATCCAAGTATTCACTGGAAGAACCTGGGTCTGGATCCAAAGAATAAGCACTAGTTCTTCATCCACAGAAGGGCTTTGGAGCCATTTCTTGAACAGCACCTCTGCACACACACACCCATGTCTTTCAAAAGCACTGTGATCTGGCCTGAAAGGGTCTGTCAGTCCACATTAAAAGTTCTGCTGAGCATGCTCAAGCCCTTGGCGGTCATGGCTCTGATTCTAATACAGAGGAAAATCAATACTCAGTACAGACACCTATACTGTATCAGGACATTTTCCCACCAGCCTTGAGTGTTAAGAGTGTAGTGACCTACTTAATGGTTATGTCCTGCAGTTCCAAGCTCACACAGGCTTGTGTCTGTATTCTTGACACATAACCAATACTATTCCAAATTTATCTAAATAAAATATTTCACAAGGTTGTAGTTTTACCTAGTGGTCATTGATTAGGTGGTATTCTAGGCGAGAACTGTGCATGTCTGCAGTTTTGCTGAGTTACCACATTTTCCAGTAAGTTTAACAACATCCGTATGACACTAGAGGTAGTATTTTACTTAACTGAAAGCTGAGATTGTTAGCAACAGATAAGCAACAGAGCCAAACTTGGGCGGGAAAGGAGGACAAACAAGTCCCTAAAACCAGAAGTGTGCGCATTCTTTTATGCTTATCTACAGAGAGATTCCTGTGCTCTGCATTTCTGGTTTGCCTTCTGCTATCTTAGACAGATTTTACAGATGGAAAACAGAACAGCAGCAATTACAAAAGAAAAGGCCCATGTATATTTAGAATTGAGATTCTGTAGCTAATTATTCATTGTAAGAATTCGATTTAGTATTTTGATACAGCAGTATAACACTTTCCCCTATGAACTGCAAGCACAAGAAATGTAGCTAGGTCATGTAAAATGTTGAGCTACCTTGTTTTCCGTTCACAGTCTAAGCTTGTTTCAAAAGTGTACAATAATTACACAGGCACATGGTTAGACAGAAGCCTCTTGAGACAGAGGGCAACTTTTACTGTGTCAATTTAGCTAAATCATTTGGATTCAAACCATATGGGGGGGGAAAGGCCAAAACAGTGAGTATAAAAATATGGGAAACTTTGGAGGGGAAAACCAGAAGTCTCCCAAATTACTGAGTCTCGGGCCGGGGGGGCGTTAATCTGAAGTATTAATTTTCAGATAGGTGAAGCTAAGGGTTGCCAAAGGAAACTGACTAGCAATGCTAGCCAAGAGTATAACACAACCATTTTTTGTAGGAATTAAAACATAAGACCAAACATGTTGCATAAAGTTATTCACACATTTTTCATTTTGTTGTTTACTTTACAGCATATTACAAGTGAACATTACATTATTTAATATGAACTAAGAGCAGCTTAAGAGGCAGAGCAGACCTAAACAGACTAGGCAAAGTGTTTCATAACTGAATCTACATCAGAGAAAAGACTGAAGAACTAAAAACAAGCATAGTGGTTCTTAAAACCAAAGACATTTCCTATGTATTCCCCCATTTTTCACACAACCACTGTGCAAATATATTTAATAAAATTGATAAGTAAAACCACTGATCATGTAACAGAAGAGAGCATAAATATCCCATTTAGCCAGCCAAAGGGCCTTCAACATACTAATGCATCAAACAATACTGGATTGTTTTAAGGCTGTAAAGATGATTTTATATATGATAGAATGCAATGACTGTCCTTTCCCCAGCCCCAATGAAGTAGTGAATTGAGAAGGTAAGACAGAGATTTGATGAAAACCCAGTGCAGAATATTAGGTTTCTATTTCTACTGGAAAAGATTTATATAAATACTGTCATTAATTTGGGATCATAAAAGGTATATAGAAGAAAAAGGAGGAAGCTACTGAATAAATTCAAATGTGACATACATTTAAAATTCAAACATTAAGGTAGCCTGTGTTGAGCCACACCGTAGCAAGAGATGCAGTGATTCGTAGGCGTTGTGATAAAAAGCACTGTATACATGAGCCGTGTCACACTCCTTCCTTCAAACAAAAACCTTTCACATGATCTAGTCCGATCACTACCTCCAGCCACCAAGACAAAGCGCCTACCTTACGCCTTCAAAACGAAGAAGGGTTTACACAAAATACTGACTTGAACAAAATACAAAACACTTTATCTTTCAGAAACTGAATATACAAAGTAAGCTTCTTTCCAAAATATTTTCATAGGCAAAGGATTAAAAAGGATTTTAATTATACACATATGGTCAACAATTCTGCCTTAAAAAGGAAACTGGGAAATGTACATAAGGCCGCTTGTAAATGTACATCTTTATCTTACTGTTACAGTGTCATGTTCAGAGAAAAATTGACAGTATCATACATATTTGCTTTAGGATGAAACAAGCTGTTCAAAAATACAGTACTCTTCTGTACAAAAACAAATCGTGCCACATTTAAGATGGAAGAAGCACTGGTCTGGCGTGGTCAGCATTTCAGTCCATTAATTTGTGTTTATTCTCATATTTAAGCTGAATAATTTCCCAAAATGTCCATATTAACAGAATAGTTAGGTTATAAACAAAAAAATTTCTCACAATAGATAAAAGAAAGCTGGTTCATATTTTTGAAACCATATAAAGATAGATTTTTTAAAAAATCAGTCTTGATTTTGCTGAAATAAATTTACATTATACAACACTATGTCAGGGCAATAAGGGACAGGATATGAATATACACTAAAATGCAAATCTTCTTCCCAAAAGGGGTAAAACAAATTACATTTACAGCATGAAGGTTTACAAATGTACATCTGTACAACCAAAGGTAAGCATTCACTACTCAATTAGCAAAGCTCTTAAACATTGAAAACAAAAGTTGTTTACAAACTGTAAACTTACATCTAGTAACTATACTTATACAATGCTTATATTTATAAGGAAGCAAAAAAGCTATCTGAATATTTAGTCATGCTTTAGATGTTGAGCTATCAAAGTTTCAGTGACCCCTTTCCCTCTTCCATTAAACACCCATGGTTTGTGTTGACCATGAACACAAAACGTTTGCTCAACATTTTCAAATTCTGTCTTAGTTATATATGCAAAGCAACACACACGCTTCTCTTGCACTGGCAGTCTGCCTGTTGATTCAATGCAAGTTTATGTATTTCCCCACAGACAGTACACTGCTGTAAAGAAGTACCACCTTGATTTTATTCCCCTACCCTTCACATCAATTAAATATTTAAGTATATACACATCTTTTATACACGGCTAGAGAAAAAAGGGCACTGTGATTAAAAAAGGTAGAAACTATTCCTTAATGTTCACATTTTATCATTCTTACTGGTATCTTCAGTGCCCCGATTGCTATTTGGATTACAAATTGTGAACCACCAAAATACAGAACTTAACATTCTGGAACATGTTAAATAATAACTATGTAATTGCTCTATTTTCAACTGTTATAAAAAAGGTTTCACACAAAGGGAAGAAATGAAAACTAATTCTATATACAACTATATAAATATGTTGTGCTGTGGTGTTGGGTAGACCTACCAGATTGTAAGCCAGTATATTAAAAGAATACTGTACTTTTTCCCTTTAAAAACTATTTTATTCAGTGACTTTACAAGGTAAAAATTTACAAAATGTGAGAGCTATTCTGATAGGTACATCATTTACAGGCATTCTGTGCTTTGTGAGCCATGCAATCTGATAGGTCTCTGATATGAAATGGCAATATGTTGCAATTCATTCCCCAAAAATATACACACGAATAAAATTTTTACAAATGGATGAAAAGTCAATAAATAGATATTTTTTTTAAAAAACACAACATTTTCAGTTAAGTTGTGTGTTTTGATCATTCACAATAAAATTTATCTTCCAGATTGCTGCTTGAATTTGTCTTTAAAGCATTCCATTTGGTGGCCCCCCAACCGGCCCCAGATCAGCACTGTTCTTCAGGTAATACTTCTCCAGCTTGGCAAGGATGTGTTTGCCATAAGTATATTTACGCAGGGTTGTAATATGAGGCCGAATCTGTAACGAGAAAAATCTACATTTTACTGAAATATTCCCAGCTGTTACAACAGAGTGCCTTAAAATGAATTATTTAGGGACTCTCTGCTAGTTTACTATCAATATTTATGAACTCGTATCAATATGCTAGAACTTTCAACACCTCAAATGACAAGTAATATTTAAGGTGATCCAAGCTGAAGGACAGGTTCAAGCTAAAAAATTTTTGGTTGATAGTAAGAACATTTTATAAGGGCAATTTAACTAAGTGTTTTTCGCTCTACCTTTGGACACAATATTAACTGCAAAAGCCTGTCAGCTGCATAAGGCAAATAAGAACAGAACAAAGTATTATGCTGCTGAGGTGGCAAACAGCCTGGCTTTGCCTGTAAATGAAACACTGGGGCTTACCTGAAGATTTCTTCTCTTCAGTGGGGCATAGTCAACCAAGCTGGTTACAGTCATGCCTCCACTCGCTCAGGTAAGCCTATGCAAATTTTGCAAGGACCCCTATTGGAGAGATCACAGGCTGACCCGAGACCTGCTGCGTATGCTCTCCACGTGTATTTTCCTTACTCTTCCCTGCTGTGATCACATTCCTTGATGTTCTTTCTCTCTGTTTTGGGGGGTGGGAAGTACATGACTTCACCCCACTGAAGGGAAGAAACCTTCAGGTTAAGTTCCAATGTTTCGTTCTCCTTCAGTGAGGGATGTTCCACCACCAGCTGCAGGACCCTTCTGCCAAAGGCCGCTTCTGCTGAGACCGTCTGGTTAAGTCTATACTCCCGGGCCTGGTAAAGGAGAGTACGATGCATGGATCCAGCATGTCAAAACAAGGATGCAGGACTGGCAAGCGCCTGAGACTGAAAAAGGGAGACGTCTTTCTGAGAGTCTGATGAACAGTAATCCTCAGGTTAGCAAGCAGGCACATATAGATGCCTTGGAACACACGTTTGGTAATATGAAAAGTGCTAAAGATCTTTGTAAGTTCCGAATGACCGTGCAGAGGAAAGGAGAGAAACTGTCTTCCTATTTGCAGAGACTAGAGAAAAACCAGCAAAAAATAATTCAGAAAGGTGGACTGATCCCCAGCCAGATGGGGACAAGTGAGAGTTGCCCAAGTGCTAAAGGGGACTCTGCACAATGAACTACTTCTTGTGAAAGATCAACAAGAGACCAACTGTGAGAGACCAGCAGGAGAATCCACCAACTTTCTCCCAGTCCGAGAGGAGGAAGAGAAGGAAGAGAAGGAGATGACTAAGGATGCCTTTAGAAAATAGGTTCAAAGAACTACCAAATCAATGGCCTGTGCTCCAACAATTTTATATATAACCAGTGCTGATGAACGTCCTTCTGACCATGATGCGACAATAGCAGTGCTTCAGGATGTGAGCGCAGCTAACAGAAGCAAACTTCAAAGAAGAACCCGAGGCGGAGCAGCAGAAACACATCTTACCACAAATGAAAAGGGAAGGAAGACCGTTCTTCTGCTATAAGTGTGGTAAGGATGGGCATATATCTCTTCGATGTCAAGAGGAAGAGAATGCTTCATTAGTAATGCAAAAACTTTGTGGCCCATTGAAAAATCAGGGAAACGACAGACAGGCTTGATGAGAGGACCATCCAAGTCTGAGAAAAATGAAATAGCCCTGACATTAAAGGCAAGAAAGATGGCGTTAAAGTTACTTATGCAGGGTTCCTTGCGGGACTAGTGGGACCCCACGCAGAGATCCAAGTGACGCTTGAGGCCCGAGAATGTTAGGCTGTGTTTGGAAGTGGATCCCAAGTTACCATCATTTTCAAATCCAGTTAATGACAAAATGATGTCACAAGTACCACTATAGCCTCTTGAAGGACTCAACCTATGGGGTCTCAGTGAGGCAATTTTTCCCTCTCTGGGCTATATAATCGCCCTGTTGGAGTTTCCTGAGAAAGCTGTATGAGTTAAGGAAGGTAATGCATACCAAGGCCTTGGTTTGTCCAGACCCCAGAGGGTTTCCAGCTCCTCCTCTGATCCTTGGGACCAACTCCCATTTTTTCAGACTGCTTGCAAATTACTGTTGACAGCAAGCTGGAGAACAGTTTTTGGAGACATTAAACATTTATTCATTATGTGCAGCAGCTTATCAGCACTTCATACAAGGTGATGGAGAACCTAAACAGCCTGTGAGCCCTTTAAAGTATGTGGGGAAGAGCTGTTTTGATACCCGCAGGTGCTGAGAATCAACTTCATGCATATGTATCTGGTCTCAGAAACAAAAAGAGGAATTTTCCTTCTAGATCATCCTGAAGAACCAGGGTTGCCTACTGGATTACTGGTCTTGGCTGGACATATTGATCTACCTAAAGGCAAGCATCCACAAGTGGTGGTATTGCCAACATCGCAGTAAAGCCAAACCAAAAGGTGGCAGACTGGTTTGAGTCTGTTTCTGTGAAAAAGTAGACTTAGACCTCCTAAGTTAAAATTGGACTCAGCTGTAATTGAATTTGGGGATTCACCCATTCCTGAGGCATGGAAGGAACGCCTGAGACAGAAACTTTGCCAAAGAGCCCAAGTATTCTCACTTCATGGATAGAATCTTGGGACAGCCAAGGGTGTGGAAAATCATATCCAACTAACAGATCCTTCTCCGTGAACGATTCAGGAAACTGGCATTATCTGAGACAGAAGATGTGGCAACACCTTCATGACTTACAGGATAAGGGCATTATCGCTGAGTCATGTAGCCCCTATGTCTCATCCATAGTATTAGTAAGGTAAAAGAATGGGAAATCAGAATGTGTGTTAATTATCGGACACTAAATAAACATACAAAATCTGACCAGGACACTATGCCTTGTGTGCAAGACGCCTTGGACTAATTGGAAGCCAATGGTTTTCGGTACTTGACCTTTGGAGCGGATACTATCGGATTTCCCTTGCAGAGGAAGATAAGGAAAGGGTTTTTTTATCAATTTGAACGAATGCCCCAAGGGATCTCTGGGGCCCCTGCCACCTTTCAGAAGCTCATGGGAAAACTATGGTGGCTTGTCCAGGGTATCTATATTATTTTTGCAGTGTAAATTGTGAGTGAGTAGACTCTGAGCCTGGCCCTTGGGACTAACAGGACCACTTCTCTTGCACCTATTTGAGTCAAGTGCTGACTTGCCTGGCTTAGTAGGAGGCAGCTCTCTTGTGACTGTGGAAGGTGTAACTGGTGGGAGGGTGTAGATACAACTCATTCCTGTGGCCTTCCATAATAATTGAGAGCACCCATCGGTCTGTTGTTGAAGAGCTGTGCTCTGGGCCTAGTGTGCCAGCCGGGGGTGGGAGGAGCTGGGCCTCATCCTTGGGAGCTTCCTACGAATGCAGAGCAGTATGCTCCATCCTGGCTGAGGGCCTAAGCCTTTAGATGGTGGTAGTGGAAGAGTGCCAACTCTGACAATGCTGGGGGGGGGGAGCCCTCTGCAGCGACCCCTGCTGACTTGCCTCCCCTCTTCCAGCTCCTGTACACCACTCTGCATCCCCATGTCCAGGCCGGTGCTGCTGAACTGCCTTGGTTGCTGTATGGGGCTTCCATGTGGATGGAAGTGTCCCTGGGCCCCTAAGGGGCCTGCATCCTCTATTTCACGCCCTGTGGGAACAGTGCAGGAAAAAATAGCCCAGGTGCCATTTTTGGATCCACCTGTATGGGTGGGACCATGTTTGGGTCCGCTCGTGTGGTCAAGTATCTGGGGGAGGGGAGGCCTGCCGGGCCCCACCAAAAGATCGTTCCTGTGATTGTTCCCATGCCCCCTGAGCTAGATCGGGTGTCGGCCTGACTATGTTTCCACAGGTCCTAGCTGCAGGGGGGTATCTCACCGGGAGTGCCTTTCAGTCTGGTGTCTGTTCCACGGAGGTCTCCTGCACTCTCACTCCCTCCTTGCTTGGTGCGGTGGAAAGGCTGTAACCCAAAGCTTTGGGCTGCTCGCTCTGTATGGTTGGTCTTATGCGAAAAGACTGATAAGCGAGACGAAGGGGGAAGGGGGAGGAAAAACAGCGAGTGTGTTTTGAGAGGCTTACTTGATTGCTGACAGCGTGGGAGCAAACTTTAGAGTCGGAGAGAATTGTAAAAATTGGCAGCCACGCAAAGAAGGCTGAAAACAAAACCACCTGGCAGCCAAAGCCCAAAACCGGAGGAGGGACCAGATGTTATGAAAATGCTAGCGGATATACTCAAGCCAGTGATGAAGCAACTCGATGGTATTAACCAGCAACGGACTGTAATGAATAAAAACTTTGCATCTCAGCAGCTCCAACGGAAAGAAACGGAGAAGAAGGTGGAGCAGGCAGCTGGGAAAATTAAGAAGTTGGACACCACAAGCAAGAAAATGAAGAAAAGGATGGGAGAAGTGGAAACAAAGCAAAATCTACAAGAAAACCGTTTGTTACAGCTGCAGATGGAAAAAGCCAACATGATTCTGATTCCAGGGAGTTCCTGAGCAGAGAAGGAAGATCTGAGGAAGATACTTAGGGAGATCATCGCTCCAGCAATAGGCTTAACAGTGGGTGAACTGGTAAAAGAGATGGAGATGGCTTACAGGGCTTACTCCAATTATATTAAAAAAAAAAATAGCCTGCCTGGAGAAATTGTGGTCAGATTCTCAAGAAGACAGACCAGAGATGCTATTTTAAAGGTGACATCAGCAACTCCACTGAAAATGGGAAATTTAATCATTAAAACTTTAAAAGACATTCCATTTGAAATTCGTCAAAAGAGGAAAAACTATAAGGACTTAATTCCTTTTCTTCAAACTAATGGAATTTCGTATAGGTGGGCAATCCCGGAGGGTGCCATCTTCAAGATCAACGATAAAAGAGAAAAGACTGATTCCACCTTTAAAGCCAAGGAATTTTTGCGACGCCAGCTGGGAACGGAGGAAGATTCCAAAGAGGAAGAAACAAAATCAAGTGACTCTGCCACCTCTGGAATGGAGGAGGACTCTGCTGTGGAAACCAGTGCAGAGGCAGCCAGAGTAGTATATGACTTTAGAGACAGAAAACTGAAGTAAAGGCAGAAGGACTCAGAAAATTGCCTCTTGAAGCGAAGAATAAGAACATGATCAGAAAGCTCTCTCATAACAACTAACAAATTAACATGTTAATACTGAAGCTGAGACAAACAAGAACTCTACAAGTATATTGTTTTATTAACACTTAGATTACTAACACTTTCACTAACAGGGATAAGACCTCCTCCTCTTGGGGTTTTAGTATAGTGTGGTTACCTTTTCTTTGTCCCTAGATGTAGTCCCTTTCCTCCATATTTTCTTTGTAGTTTGTAGTGTATTGCAAAAATAAAAATATCCCTCCGGGGATTTTAAAAAAACCCCACACACATTTACTTCTGAATTCAAATATACCGAATACCATCATGAAAAAATGACCCTGCAGAACTTGGAAAAGGTACGTTCATTTGTCCACAAATTGAAGCTGTAGCATGATGTGTCAGAGTATTCCCCTAATGGAACAGGCATTAAGGGAAAGGAAATTTCCGTCCTAAGTGGTGCAAGTGTGTCATGGTATAAACGTTGGGTTAATGTTTTTACAGTTAGAGAGAAATACTGTACCAGGCAACCCTTGCTGAATTTTGTGGGGAATATTATTTCACACAATAGGAAGCACCTGCACAGTAAGATTTATAATGGCCATATATTAGAATTCAAACACATTTAAGGAGGAAGATTTGGATGGCAACATATATAGTAAAAACTCACTATAATAAACTTAAACTACCCCAAAAACGAAAATCTGAATGTTATTTTGTATATAGTTTTATTACAAACTTGGGGACAGCAAATTTCAGGCTAGATCCAGATTCCTCAGAAAGATACTTACGTTTGCAGGAGAAGTGAACTTTGGTCAATTTCTCCTTCCTGCACTGTACCCCACGCTATTGCCAAAGTTTTTCCAAAATGCAAGAGCCCCTTTTGGGGGTAGCACTGGGGCTGCAGCAATAAACAGAGCTCTATCTACAGTCCTCTGGATCTAACCCACCTTTTAAACTATATAGGTGACTTTTGTGTCACATAACAATTTTTTTTAGACTTTAAGCCTAATAAGGAAAGATTACTATTCAGAAAAGTCTATCATTAAGAGCAGAAACAATTTTCACAGATTTTGAAGAACAAACAGGAAGCCAAGTGTGATTATGGCTGATTCTACTGGCAGGCTTAGATTATGTATGTTCCGCCTACTTGTGTCTTTTATTGCAGAGCACAATCCTCCAGCACTAGGCGCTTACCACTAACGCAAAGTCATTAGAGAAAGTTCCTTGTTGCACAAGAACATGCTTCGCAACAAAGGACAGCACTGTGCAAGCAGGAAGCAAGATACAGGACCTAAGTCCTAGTAAGCGGCTTACAAATACTTCCAAAATGCAAAAAAATTAAAAACAGCAGGGTGATGGCAACAGTATAAAGAGTCATGAAGATGATCAAAGATGGGATATTCTGAGACAGTGTTACTGTTATCCCACACCTTAATGACTAACAGATTGAGGGACAACAGATGAGGGTTCTAGTCCACAAAGATTATGCTACAATAGTTGTTAGGGTGCTATAGGACACTTTTTTGCCTGAACGCAACAGATGACAAGCTCTTCCAATCTCTGAAGCAGGTGTCCAGTTACCTTGTGCATTATAATCTTACGCTGAGCAGGTTCAGCCATATCAATCATCTTCTGAACAACGTAGTTTGCATACTGGTCCTTCATCATGGTGTATAAGGCACTGTGAGGACCATCGTTCTGGCAACACACCTCATCAATGAGCAAAGCTCTTTCAGCACGAGATGCATGGGTTACACATTTTTCTACCACATTACTACAAAACAAAAATCACAAGATTTGTCGTTAAGAGGAAGAAATATTTCAATGTATTTTATACTGCTCCGATTTAACTCAAAAGCATTTGAAATGGCAAATATGAGCATGACTTTAACTACCACGCTGTTCATTATGCCATGCTAATCTCAGTTCCATTGGGCTCTGTTCTTAAATTAGCCTTTGCTGCATGGTCACCACTGCAGTACAGCTCCACCTTTGCATCCTATCAGAAGACCGGAACTGCATGCATACACGCTAACATTACCCAGACCTGTGGAAAGGTGATACTAGTGTTGACTGTTTTCATGGTCCTAGGGTTTCCAAGCTACACAGAAGCCCTATGCAGATGTCCTGTTTGCATGGGCACTTACTGAACAGGGAGGTGGAATGGCATGTGTGTGCTGGCCCAGCCCTGTCCACACAACCACTGAGTGGTCTGCATGGGGCTAACACGTGCAGGATGGGCCTATGCACACACCTCCTTCCTGTGATCAGCAACATTCCAAAACCAATGCTGCTGATCACAGGGAGGGGATGTAGACATGGGCACTTCCTCCACACATTCACCCCACGCAGACCACTTGATCATGTGGAGCCATGGGGAGTGGCCAGCATGCCTTTGTCTGCCCACGTTACTGGGATGTCTGCATAGGGCTAGAGCAGCATAGCAAAGGACTACATTACAGCAGCTCCTATGCCAGAAAGGAAATATAAAGAGAAATCCCCAAACTCAAATTTGATAAGCATCTAATGGCCAAGCTAGATGTCACGGCAAATCTGCATTTAAACAAGCATTTGCCCCAACTCTGCAAAATGCAACTAACAGTAAACATGTGTGTGTGTGGGGGGGGCGCTACAGAATACCTTCCTTGGCTTTGGTGTGACTCTTTGCAGCCCTTCTTCCTGAGCACTTTTTCCTGAGGCAACATGCTTCAAGAATCAGAACTCAGTGGCAAAGATAAGTTCTTCAGGGGGAAGAAACTGTTAGAAAATATGCTGGGGAGGAAAGTTCTCACCCCAGAGGATCCTTTTGCTATTAGTCTTCAATCCTTGCATTAAAGACAGGATATAATACTTCATTTTATTTAAACCATTTATTCCAACATTTATTTCTTTTCAAGGCTGCCATATGAGTCACCTTGAAGTAAGGTCCTCTTCCAGGTACTGAAGTGTAAGACAGCAGCACAAGACTTCAAGTTGCTTTGCACTTTCATCTGGAAGTTTCATCTGGAACCTGCGACCATCTACTATGGAGGCAGGAGAAAGGGAGGAAGTTGGAAGTGTCTTCTTGCTCAGTTCCAACCAAATATATTTTACTGAAAAGAGATTTTGTTTCCCAGTGGACAGAGAAGAAATCAACCCTAAGTATGGACCATGGGATGGCAGCCAGTAAAAGAAAATATATTTTGGATAAAGTACATAGGAAGTTTAAAGCAAGAATCATTCAGTGCCTACCATCAAAAAAAATTTAAGGCCCTGCATTAGATCCAAGTAATTGCGAAGTCTGCTTGTAGAACAGATCTTTGCCACCTTGACCATTATACTGTGCTCCCTACAAAAACATTAAGAACTGGGGGACTCTGGGTAAAAATGGGGGCTGCAAGGATATTGAAGAAAAGTGGAGGACCCGCTTATGCAATGCAACCTAGGATCCACAACTATCAGTCATACCTGGCAAATTTATGCTGACTTAGAGTTAGAACTTTTCCTCTGATTTCGGAAACAATTTTACTCTTGTCTTCAGGACGCCCATGTTCCAGCACATGTTGGATAACATAATTTCCATATTGATCCTGAAAGTAACACAACCTTAAGTTAGCTTTTGCTACACTTGCTGATTTACAGTGCTGAAACAGCATGGTGTCATGGTTAGAATGCTGATCAAGTATCTGGGAGACCCAGGTTCAAATCACTACTGTTCAATGAAGCTTGCTGGGTGACCCTGGAACAGTATCTAACTCAACCAAACCTACTGCACATGATTGTTGTGAGGGTAAACAGGATGGGAGAACCACATATGCCACTCTGAGGAGGAAGAGCTGGATAAAAATGTACTAAATACATACGTTTTTGGAAAAACTCAACTGGCTAAAATAAAGGAGACACCATTTGTGCATCTATGTTCTATGTCTATGTCCTATGGGCAAAACAATTATGTCTATATGTTCTATGTAAACAGGTTACTTACTTGTAACTGAGGATCTTTGAGTGATCATCTGTGCATTCACACCTCTGGGATATAGTGCACCTGCGCCGACCCCAATCGGTATAATGGAAAGCGAAAGAGATTTTCACGCCCGCTCCCTGGTCACGTGCCGGGCTCCACTGCGCATGACCAAGGGAGGGGCATGACAATCCTGCCAGTTCCTTCTGACCGCTGCCCTCAGTCTCCAAAGAAAGAAAGGAAGGACCGAAAGCAGAGGGGAAGGAGGGGTGGTGGTGTGAATGCACAGATAACCACTCAAAGATCCTCAGTTACAGGTAAGCAACCCTGTTTATCTTCTTCGTGGTCTCTGTGCATCACACCTCTGGGAGACTAACAAGCAGTACACACCTAACTGGAGGAGGGAGCTGAGGTCCTAAATCTACGCCGCCTGCAACACCGCTCGACCAACCATGGAACACTGATGAAGACGTACATCGAGGGCATAATGCTTCACAAATGTGTGAGGCATGGCCCAAGTAGCTGTGCTGCAGATATCTTCTAGCGACGCACCACGCAGGAAGGCTGTGAATGCCACAACTGCCCGGGTGGAATGTGCCCGTAGCGGACCCAGGAGCGACTTTTTTGCTAGCACGTAGCATAACTTAATAGTCTCCACAATCCACTTGGATAGGCGTTGGGACAACAGCTTCTTTCCTTTAGAGGGTAGAGCATAATACATGAACAATGCCGGTGATTTCCTAAAAGGCCGTGTTCAATTTAGGTAAAACAGTAAAGTTCTTTTGACGTCCAACGAGTGAAATCGGCGTTCTTCCTCCGTCAAAGGGGACAGAAAGAACACTGGGAGAACAATGTCCGCTTGTAGATGAAACTCAGAAACAACTTTCGATAAGAAAGAAACAACTGGAGCCAACGTGACCCCAATGTGACGGAAACTCAAATAAGGGGGGTCACAGCGAAGTGCCGATAACTCTCCCATCCTCCTAGTGGAGGTAACCGCAACCAAAAAGGCAGTTTTCCATGACAGAAGCTGCAGACTACAAGTAGCCATTGGCTCAAAGGGTCTGTCCATAAGTCTTGTAAGCACCATGGGTAGGTCCCACGCTGGCATGGGACCACACGATGGAGGGAAGAGGTGGGTCAGGCCCGTAAGAAACTTCTTGGTCTGAGGGTGGGAGAAAACAGAATGACCGTCAATCGGCGGGTGATTAGCCAAGATTGCGGCTAAACAGACCTTCAACGAGGCACAACTGAGGCCTAGGTCCAGACAAGATAAAAAGAACCCGAAGATTGCCATCAGGTCAGATGGAGGTGCCATCAGGTCAGTTGGCAATCCCAACGAGTCAAGGTGAGACAAGAATTTCTTCCACCTCCCAGCGTAAGAAATCCGGGTAGATGGTTTGCAACAGTTCGATAGAACGCTCGAAAAGGATCCTCCAAACTGTGAGCTTGAGACGCTGCACATCGTGATGCAGTATCTGCCCTCTCCCTGCGAGGAGGAGATCTGCAGCTGGGGGGAAATGAACGAAGGAGCCCTTGGATAGGTGGAGCAGAGTGGAGAACCAATGTTGCCGGGCCACCACCGGGTCACTAAGAGACAGCATGGCTTTTCCTGCATTAGCTTGACTAGTACTCTGGAGATTAGAGGAATCAGAGGGAAGAGGAACACGTGAAGACGTGATCATGGGACCAGAAGACCATCGCCAAGAGACAGGGGATCTGTCCCCGCTCTGGAACAGAACAGATGGCATTTTCTGTTGCTGTGTGTCGCGAACACGTCCACCTCTGGATGGTCACATCGGTTGGAGATATATCCAATTGAGCTCCCACTTGTGCTCCGATGCACCTCCTCCGCTCAAGAAGTCCGCTTGGATGTTCAACGTCCCCAGTAGATGGGCGGCTCTCAGGAATGTGTTCCACGACTGACACTCGTCCCATAACTCCAGGGCTAGTCGACATAGCCCCCTGGATATTGTACCTCCCTGTCTGTTGATATAACACAGGGCCATTGTGTTGTCCGTCAGGACAGTGACCACCTGCTGGGTCACCAGGTGTCGGAAAGACCTGAGTGCATACTGCACTGCCAGCAATTCCAGAAAATTGATGTGATGGTGGGCTATATGGGATTCCCATCAAATCCTGACACAAAGTCCCTTGAGATGTGTGCCCCATCCCCAAAGCAATGCATCGGTAGTCAACGTGAGTGTTGATGTGGGCGGATGAAATGGGGCTCCTGCTAGGAGATTTACAGGATCTGTCCACCAAATCAGAGAGCCCAGAACAGTCGGTGGGAAGACAAGACGAAGGGATTGGGGTTGACTCTGTGGGTGAAACCTGTGGATGAACCAGAGCTGCAGAGGTCTCATGTGCAATCTGGCAAAGACAATGACATTGATGGTGGCCGCTGGATTTGTTTTGCCGTGGCATGCCCGGTCTTGCGGAATAGAGTCACTAGATCGACAATGTCCCTTGTTCTCTGGGGAGGGAGGAAGACCTTGCAAACGACAGAGTCCAGGATAGCTCCTATAAACTGCACTCTTTTGGTGGGAAGGAGCATTGACTTTTGCAGGTTCACCTTGATGCCTAAGGATGTAAGGACGGACAAGGTTAGGTTGACATGGGTGAGCAGGGATGCCTTTGAGTCTGCTACCAGTAACCAGTTTATATAGGGAAATATCTGGACTCCCTTTAGATGGAGGTGTGCCACCACGACCACCATAACCTTCATGAAGACCCGAGGGGCCGAGGACAGTCCAAATGGAAGGGCTTGGAATTGGAAATGACGATTGCCCACCGCAAAATGGAGGAAACTGCAGTGGGCAGGGTGCATGGAGATGTGAAAGAAGGCATCCTTAAGGTCCAACGTCACCATCCATGTCCCTGGCTTTAAGAGTGGAAGAATGGACTGTAATGTTGTCATCCAGAACTTTTTGTATAGGATGAAAGAGTTCAGTTTCCTGAAGTCTAAGAATGGGCGTAAGCCTCTGTCCCATTTCAGTACCATAAAGTAAGGAGAGCAGAAGCCCGTGAGGGGGAGAAAAAGTGCATTTTTAACAAATTATTGAAATTCATTCTGTGGCTTACTCAGCATCGTGAAGAAAACGTATAAACCAGAGATGTAGGAAACGGATTTGGGAAAACTCTATGAGGTATCCCGATTTGATTATTGACAGGACCCATAGGTCCATTGTAATAAGCTTCCAAGTCGACAGGTGAGGAGACAAGCGCATAGGGAACGTGGGAAGGAGGTAGGAGTCAAAGACTCTGTTTGGGATTCTTAGTGGTTTTGGGTCTAGATTGGGATGTAGACGAAAACTTGGGTTTTCCTCCATAAGGACGAGATGAACGACTAGGGGACCTTTGCTAGTGTGGCTTGGAAGATGATTTTGATGAGGGTCTGCTGGACCATTGTTTGGTCCACGGTTTTCCCTTGTGGAGTTTTGTAGGAGGTGTAACTCTTGGCTGCGAGACGTCTTGATGCTTTTGTCGAGCTCTTGAAGCACTGCATCTGTGGTGGAACTAAACAGTCCATCACCTTCAAATGGAAGGTCCTCTACGACAGTTTTAGTGTCTGTAAGGCAGATGAACGAAGCCATGCGTGCCGGCGTAAGGTGACCGAAGAAGTGAGAGTCTTTGCCGCTACGTCCAGCAAGTGCTTGGACACGTTAAGTTGATGTTTTGCCAAAAGCATTCCTTCTGTCTGGATACGCTTGGCTTGATGACTGCAGTCATCGGGGAGGGTCGAGAAATTCTGACATTTGTTCCCAAAGGGCATACTGATAGCGTCCCATGCAAGCAGCATACCGGGTTTCCCTGAAAATAAGACACTGTCTTATATTTATTTTTTCTCAAGAAGACACACTAGGGCTTATACCACAAATGCATAGAAATCCTGCTAGGGCTTATTTTTTTGGGTAGGTCTTATTTTCGGAGAAACAGGGTAGTTAGCGGATTTGATACCCATAGCTCCAGCAGTATAAAATTTTCTCCCAAAAGAGACATTTTCTTCCCTCCTTGTCTGGAGGAGTAGAGTGGCTACTCTTGCCATTGGCAGATGAGGTAACCACTAACGAATTCGGCTTTGGATGAAGAGAAATTTTGCTCCCGATTCTTGGATCTTGTACATATGATCCAACCTATTATTGGACATCGAGACAGATGAAGGATGAGCCCAAGGAGCTTTGGCTGTTTGCAAAAGGACCGAAGTTATGGGAATGGGGACCGAGGTTGATGTGTCCATCTGGACGATGTCGAAGATCAAGTCTGTGACTGTCGGAAGAGGCTGGTTGGTGGGTAGAGCTAACGTGTGTGCCATTCGTTTGACAAAGTCCCTGTAAGGCTTAACGTCCTCCGACGGCAAAACAGGGAGGTCGACCTCCACTTGCTGTGGCGGGGACGGCTCTAGCAGTGGGTGTGAACTCTCCTCACCCGAGTGAGGGCTAGGGGAGCTGGAGCGATTTGAAGGTTCAGAGAACAACGTCTGAAGGATCGGCACTGAAGGTAACAACTCTGACTGATCTATAGGAGGTTCTGATGCCGATGACTGGAGACCGGAGCCTTTAGCTATCGGTTTCGACTGTGAAGGTCTAACGAACTCTGGTGCCGGGGAGGGACCTCGGTAGCAAGAAAGCCTGGAAGACGACGACTGGCGATCCCACTCTATGGGGGGACGGGGAGGAAGCCATGGCATCAATCCTGAAAACGAATAAGACCGTAGAGGTATTGGCACTGGCGCTGATCCTAGGTCAGTGGCTGAAGAGGTGCTGGTGATCGATCCCGATCATCAGGGATGAACGGAGGTGAAGGGACGACCATGTGTGTCCTTCAGTCTCGTTGAAGGTTCTTGATATCTGTTTGGAAAACTTGGAACAATGGGCGCAAGAGTCTACTCGGTGCATTTTCCCCAGGCATAAAAGGCAAAGGGAATGTCCATCTGGGGGGGCGATCTTACTGCCGCACTTCCAGCACCGTTTAAAGAAACCCCACCAAGCGGCCATAGGCCGAAGGGAGGGGAGTAGAGAAACAAAGTCCAAAAACACTATCTAGCTGAAATACTTTTCTAACTAACTAAACGTGAAGAAAACGAGGCCTAAAGGCCAAAAAGAAATAGTTTTACCGACCGAAACAGAGTCCTACCAGCACAGCTGTCAGAAGAGAACTGGTGGGATCATCGTGCCCCTCCCTTGGTCATGTGCAGTGGAGCCCGGCATGTGACTGAGGCATGTGCTTTCCATTATACTGATTGGGGTCGGTGCAGTCGCACTATATCCCAGAGGTGTGATGCACAGAGACCACGAAGAAGATCTATATCTATGTTTTATGTCATATGAGCAAAACAATTATATCTTAAGATAAATACTGAGCCAAAACCTACAAAAATAATTTGAAAATATACGACATTTTCTTTAGAATATGCTTCTAATGCTCAAGCTCACATTTATAAGAAATATTTTGTGGTTTGTAATTTATTTTGAAGTCACCATGTATCAAAGTATACACCAACCTGCACAAGCTGTTCTGTATGTTGATGCAGTTCTTCTAAAATGGGCAAAGTCTGCTCAGCAGTGCAATGCTCCAAAATACGCTGAATTACTCTACAGCCATAAGGATGAGTTGAAAGCACAAACACCTTAAAACAAGAGGATTACTGTTATTCACTGCTATAGATCTGTTCCATACGAAATGAAGACTAGAGCTCTAGTCTTCAAAAAAGAAAAACACAAGATTAAACATAGAACGGGGGAAGAGGGAATGTTTCTTGCTTTCCATTTTGGAATTCATTGTGTAACATCTGGCACAGGAACTCATATTTCCCCTGTGTGTGAGAAAAATTATACCTGCATCTGGATCCCACCTATCTCACTGTGGGAAGGTGCTTAAATTCACATTTCGATAAAACTCATCTCACACTCTATGTTGTAACATGTATACAGCAGTGAAACAGAATCAATGACCTTCATAACACAGGTACTTCCCTCTAACTGCTTGTTCAGGAACAGCCCACACATAGCAAACTGCTGAGCATATGGGAAAACATTCAACAGAACTGCCAAAGAACTCATCTCGCACACCTGGGAGTAGCCTGGGGTAAGTGAGGCAGTATCTTAGACAGGGAAGGGCCTTTACTTTCTTGATACAGAACCAATTTGCCATGACCCAATGATTATTAGAGAGGAGAATATGGACTACATATGGACCACTTTCAAAAGAAAAAAGCAAGCTGTTTCCTACATTGAGTGGCAGTGTACAAAGTATGGGTCTTAAGCTTCTCTGACAGAGAAGAAGAGCACAATGTAACCCTTTGAACAGAAACATCACATATGCGGATTGCCTACAAAGTGGCACAGAGTCTCTTGATGCCGGTGTCATTAAGACACAGTGGCTACAGGGGACAGAATATTTCTCAGATCCTCACCCCTATTAGAGAACTCGTAGCTTAGTGCTAGTTGGGCCTCCAGGACTAGATAACCCTCTATGATGCCCCAACTGTTGATGGTGAGGTTGATAATCAACTAGACAAACTTCTGAATACAGGCAGCCATTTTCTGAGCATAGGGCAATGTGTGGCTGTCTCTGAATCAGTGCCAGTGCACCACACACATTTCTGTGTGATGACAATACTGTTACCTCTGACAAACTTTACCTAACTAGAGGGGTCCTTCCTATTTCCACAATGGCTTCCCCTCAAGCAGGAAAAAGAAATTAAACATGGAAGATGGCCCCAGATTTTCTGATCTGTCGTTGTAAGTATTCAGTATAATATAAGCTATCATTTCTAGTGGCACTGTTAAAGCAGCCTGAAATACTAAAGTGAAGACAAAATTCTCACCATTTTGCCAATAAAATATTTCCCTTTGCCTTTAAAAAAAATAAAAATACACAAACCCTTCTGAGGAGATAAAGGACTGTGTAATTATTCTATTAGAGGGATGGGAGGAGAGGCAAGAGACAGGGGAATTTAGCTCCTCCTATATACATTTGATTATCTCAGGTTGATACCAGGTTTTATTACGTATCTCTACAGCCTGATTCCACTGCTGGAAGGCTCTCTTGTCAAGCATTCACCTTAGGTAAGATCATACTAGGGCACCCATTTTAGATAAATTAATACAAAGGGAAATTTTCTAGACAGAATAAAAGGGTATGAATCAGACCTTTCTCATTTCCATCAAATTATCTGCTTCCTAATGCTGAGAACCACCTTCTCTACCCTTGTCACCAACTTCTTCACAAAATAAACCAAATGATTACAAGTTCTGCATGAAAACAAAATTATATAACCAGAATCGAACTGTGTTCTATGTTAGCACTTGCAACCATGTTTGGCAATATTAGCTACAGCATACAATTATGGAAAGCAATCAACATTCATGCAGCCAAAGAAAGCAACTGGACAACTGATTTACCTGTCCTTTGAAAGCATCAATAATAAATTGGAGTGATTGTGGCTGAACACATTCAATACACTTTTGTACCACATGGTTTCCATTTTGATCCTTCACACATTTCAGGACGTGACCATCCAGCTCCTTCACCATTTCATTCTGCAAGAGGAGGAAAGCATTAGTAAATTCTACATGTTTTCCCCAGAAGCGTGTTTTTAAAATTATTCTCCTCTAACATTAATAATTTCAAGAAAGAATGCTAAGTTTCATTGCAAGCATGTTTCATAACAATGCAAAGAAAATAACATTTTATAGAATACAAAAATATTGTTCTAACTTACAATTACCTGCTGGTCAGGTGAGATAGACTCTAGTGCTTTCTGAATGACACGACAACCATACATCTGGAGAGCTAATGGGAGAACATGTCCACGGATGCGTGTTGCAAGTGCTAGCTTCTGGTCAATGCTTCCAAACTATAAGAAAAATGAGGGCAGTATTAAGAGAAGCAAGGAAATCCTGAAGAAAAGAACAAGAGGGATTAGCTGTGCAATTGTGTTTTAGAACCTCAAAAATATAACCACAGAAATACACACTGCAACACAAGAATACTATGGATCTCAGACATTAACTGGGCCATTGAAAAGTCCCAATGTTCCCACCATCAATTTTAATGGCCAACACTTGGAAATGAACCACAACAACAACTAAAGGGAAAATAAAGTGAAACTATTCTTGTATGCCATGTAAAGATGCAATGATTTCAGAACAGGTGGGCAGTATTTGTATGCATTTGTCTACACAGATAAAGTCTCAGGTCCATATACTTCAAGTTATACTTTGGAAACTATTCCTCCCTCAAGTGTCCATTCACCTATATCAGAGGTGTCAAACTCATTTGTTATGAGGACCAGATCTGACATAAATGTCACTTTGTCAGGCTGGGCCATGTGTGCCATAAAATGTAATGCCAGGTACTGGAGATATAAACTGTAAAAAGGGCAGCAGCTGGTAAGCTCTGAGTTGTTATATCCTCACAGCAAGGCCCCATAGGCTGGGGGTGGGGGGGTACAAAGGAAAAACACATATGGGTGGACTGGAAAGCCAAGCGATACAGTACTGGGCAGATGCTCCCACGCAGCTTGACTGCTGCAGACAAAGTTGTTCTGCCATGCCGAAGACACAATTGGAGTGGCTTCACACACACACACACACGGAGCAGTCTCCTGTTCCCTCCCTTGCACTAGTTGCTTGTGGGCCGCATAAGCGCCCTGGATGGGCCAGTTCCAGCCCCCGAGACTTATGTTTGACACCCTTGACCTATATTGTCTTTCAGGAAAAGTAAGAACAGACTGAATGTTCCCTTACAACAGAGAAACTGAGACAACTGCAAGTCTACATTCAGGACAAAATCAGACTACATAAGGCCCTCCAGACCTACTCCCAAGCCCCCAGGGAGACCACAGAGGCTAATTCCTCAGGTGCCCAACTGAGTAGCTCTCTGAAAGTAAGCAATATCCCCTTCCCCACCTTAGTAGCAGTTTTACGAATAAGGAGTCATTAGTCAGCTTTCTGGCATTAACACAGCAAAAAGATTAGCAAAACATATACTAGAGTTATTTTATTTGGTACTTAAGCTTACTGATAATTTTGTAAAGATTTTTTTGAAATCTGTTCTGAAGCTACATCCTACATTGAAATTTTTAATTCAACTGATGGCACTTTCATTTTAAAAATTATTTTAACTGTACCAATTTTAACTAGATTTTAAATGTGACCATGTGCAAATGCTATTTTCATGAAGAAGTTTCAGATGCAATTCTCAAATCAATTAAGCCAATGTATGTTTAAATCTATCTGTACAACTTTTTACAAAATCTGCAGAGAGATCATGCCTACAACATGATCTGTATGCAAGGACCCAGAGCACTTTCCGTTTGGATGAAGTTTTTATACAACAACCCTCTTTCCATGCACACTCACCTCAAAGAACTTCTGTATGACATAGTTTCCAAACACATCAGTCATCAGCTGATATGCTGCTTGCAGAATCTCGCTGAATACCATTTGGCGCTCGGCTGGAGTAGCTCTTTCTAGCTTCTGCTGGATAAACCTGTGAGCACCAAAAATGTACATGCTACTATAAATTAAAGTACTGTAAAACCTCTAAAGGTATTGATGGTCACAGCAAGAGCTAAAACAAAAGCTGAAGACTGCACAGGAGCCAGTATTTGTTTTTAATTAGGGAATGGGATATTTTTAATGAAATAGTTTTTCCATGAGCACATCCTATTATTTGGTGTGTCCCCCTTCTTTACACATTCTTTTCCTCTCTAAGGGGACTCACCCTTTCTCCCTTCCCTCCCCCCGCCTCGTGCAAACCACAAAGCCGGTTTGTTTTTTTTAAAAAAAAGTTATGGAAAATGTTGGACAACTACTTTTCAACATTCATTAAATAGCAAAGAAAAGCTTTGAGAAGTGCTTGTTGTTGTTGTTTTAAATAAATAGGATCCCTTCTTTTTTCTATCCTAACAATAATTATTAGTACAGCTTGAACAGAAATGACATTAGGGTCATCAATTTCTGCAGGGAGAAAACAGGATAGACACTGAGTGACTAACCAAGTTTCATCTCATACTGATCTTCGCAGTAAAAAGGGAGTTTGTAAGCCCAGTTCCCACCCCTGTTCTTTCCATGGTAATCACAGAAGTATTGTTAGGACACACCCTCCAGCCAGTGTTCCCTCTAAGCTGAGTTAATGTGAGCCAACTCACAGTTTTCGTGCCTCTGGCTCGGACATTTTTGTCTTCGCTCAGGAAGGATGGCTCCAGAGCAAACTAATTAATGCAGCAGCCCAATTGCTCGCTCACAGCTTTAATGCCAGTCGCTCACAAAGTAGAATCTTTGCTCACAAGACTCCACAGCTTAGAGGGAACATTGCCTCCAGCTAGTTCAAATGCTGAATATTTAACTGACAGAAATTCAGTGAAGTTTCCTTATAGATGTAGTGGAAGGAATCACTTATTTTTATTAAGCTACTCTGTCTTGCATTGTCACAAAGGCTTACCTAGAACCATGCTGGTCTCGTGAAAACTCAACTATGTGTCCAACCAGGTCTCGCAACTGAAGATTAGGAAAGCGATTGTTTCGGAAATCTTCCAGTAACCGACTACGTCCAGAGGGCATAATGTCAGACCTACTGTAACGAAGACGTGAGGGAGGAAACAACTGGCTGCTGGAGCTAAAGAGACTGGAGGTACTTGCTGCACTGCGATACTTTGCTTCTGCTCCAGGTGCTGCAGATATATAGCGACCACTACCATTGGTCAGTCCTCCTACAATGAAGCAGCTCTGTCAGTAAGAATTTTAAAATGTACTATAAATATTAAAGTTATACTAGAGCTAGGGAAGGATAGAATAATAAGAAAGTGTCTTTTCACATGCCCTTTTCACTTAATTTCCAAAAGGGAACAAGCAAATCTAACTGATGGTCAGGAAGTACCAAAACTAAGACAGCGCTAACATATAACAAGAATCCTGCACTTGACTTTTCAAAATCAGTGCTGTTTATACCAAGGAAACGTCTTGTAGCTTGTTGTTAGTGTCAAGCCAGCCACATGAATTAAAGCGCACACTCCAACCACCCCTCTCAAGTCTCTCCAAGGATCATGTCACATTACAGTACATCATCAGGGTGTCAACTACAGACTACTCCACAGCTTGTTACTTGGGCTCACCTCCCTCTAAAGGAGGCTTGCCTCTAATCTAACTATCGCACAGGAAATATTTGAGAACCTAGAAAGTGTATAAAAGTTATGGTTAAGAACTATTCAGCTAAAGTTTCCAAAGCTCAAACTAATATCTTGCTTTGTCACCACTTCTCTTGATAGCTTCTAAACCAACATGAGACCTCACCTCTTTTCCTACCAAAAAAGTTGCCACTGCCAGTGAAGGGGACTATTAAAACTGCAGACTTTCCACCAAGACTTTTAACCATGTTAAAGTAGCCAGCACTTAACCTGTCAATGCAGTACATACAGTTTAAGCAAACTGAGAAATATTGTAAGGCAAGAATCTACTAATTTTACCTAGCATGAAATCAGCCCTATGAAGCAACAGGTCAAGCCAATCCAGAGCTAACTGTGAGGGATATGAAAGTATGGCAAATCTAACATCTACTTGAAATGTAGGACAGGATCATGGAATGGGGTTTTCCTGCCTTTCCTTTCCTGATGTAGCCCCATGCACTGCCCAACCCCCCAAAGTACTGCTCTGAATGACAAGGACCTGAGAATGATATGGAATGTGGCAAGGGGCTGGAGAGAAGAATCCACTGAAAGTGCTCCCCCCCCCCCTCAGCACAACCAGAGGCAGTGGTGTGGATCCAACCCATAGCATAGCACTTCAGTATAAAAGCTTGTCTAGGAGAAATGAGAAGTGAATCCTAACTACAAAATCATACTGTAGTTATAAGTCTACTTAACATGAATTTAGATAATTGCTAGTAAAGTGTAATCAAAACAATCCAATACGTTATCTCATCAATAAATTACAAGCTTGCTAAATCAAGTTATTGTGGAGAAACAGAAACCTTCCAAATAATTAAAAATAATTTACAGAATTCGGGATATTCATTCATGGTAAATCACTATGTTCACTGTCTTATATAACATATTCCAACTAAAGGGGAATATATACAATATTTACTAAACTAAAGAACAACTTTAAAACATCAGAATAAACTCATGAGATGGATTCATAAGTTAAACTGAGTTAAAACATAGTACTCCGCTGTTATAAACTATTCAAACAACTCAAACTCTTTGGCCATTATTTTAAGGTTCTATAAACTGCCTCTGTATTCAGAGACACTGAAGAGATAAATGATAAACAAGTAACATAAAAAATTAACATTAGTTTTGCATTTACTTAAACATCCCAAGAAAAGAAAGGGACTTAATGAAGAAACTCTGCATGTCAGATTAGGTCCCAAAGATTTCTTCTACCTTCTTTTCTGAAGGTGAAAAGAATAAAATGACCCACCATTCACATTCTGGATATTATCCAAGAATGCAGAGGAAGGCTTATTCTACGATGCGATTGATATGGACATCTAAATACTGATTGAAATCTAGGAATAGGGTAGCCTGGAAGAGCATGGAAATATTTTCAGGGCCACTAGGTGGCAGTCAGGTTTGCTTAAGAAGAGTACAGCCTTGCCATCCCATTGTTTCAAGGGCACAGTCTAAAAATCTGTAATTTTTTATCTGCATAAAAATGCTTATATCCAGCCATAACAGTGATGGGTGTTTTTGAAAAACAAGAATTCAGTTCCTAACCACTCTATGGTTTTATCAGCGCACACAATCAAGGCATAACAGATACATTAGGAACATCTTGCACACTTCTAAAAAAAAAAATGGAATCCACAAAACTAAGTTGTCATGCTTGTCTTCAGACTTAAATTTACTCAATTTAAATGTAATATATAGCTTATATTACTAATCATAAATGTCATATAATCAAATCTACAGATGATATGTGCTTAAGCATATAAACCGTTTTGTCTTGCTAATCTTTTTGGAAAATTGTCCCTGGAAACAATTTTTTCCCCTTTTGTTAGTATTTGATGGCTATTGGTAAAACTGACTGAATGAGTGATCTTTTTCTTACTTGCCATCTCCTAGAGCAAATTTTGCCCAAATATTTTTTTTATTTTAATTTTTTTTACATTTTAAAACATATATGTCAAAGAATCAAATCACTGACAATTGTACTCCCACTTCCATGAGAAATTAAGCTTCATATATTAAGTTTGTATCTTCCTAAGAAAAAGAGTATTTCTTCAGCGTGTGGAAAGAAGGCAATGATTAGAAGGGCATGTACAACTCCAGGAAAGGTGGCGACAGCGGATCTATATTGGTGCGGATGGGGACTGGGAATGCAAGGAAGCAGGGAATCATCAAAAAAGTATGGAAGGGGCAATCCATAAAAAGGGGGCAGAGAATAGAACAATGCACAAAATGAGAGGAAGTGAACCTATATTTGGGGTTACCAACCTCAGCATGGGGTCTGGAGTTTTCCTGGAATTACCACTGATCTCCAGACTACAAAGATCAGTTCCCCCTGGGAAAAAATGGCTTCTTTGGAAGGTGGAATTTTATGGCATCACATCCCATAAGTTTCTTGCTTCCCTCAGACTCTACCCCCAAATACGGATGGGCATGAACTGGCTCAGGAGCCAAAATTCGACACAAACTTGGGCTGGTTTGGAACTTGGGAACTGATGTTCAGGGAAGGTGCTTCCCCAAACATTTACCCAACTTTTGGTTGGTTTGGTTCAGCTGTTCAGGGCCAGCCATTTAACCCTTCCTGGGCAATCCCCACCCCCTTTCTCCCGGCCACAGCAAGCCACAGCCAGGAGAAAGGAGGGACCAAACTTGCCAGACCAGTTCAGGCAGGGCCCCAAACTGATCTTTTTAGGTTTCTGCCCATCTCTAGCCTCAAATCTCCAGGAATTCCACAAGCTAGTGCTGGCAACCACACTTGCACTTGGATGCTATAAACTTTAAAAATTTAAAAACTTTAAAAATTGATTGGGGCCTTTGCATTTCTCCAGCACTGGGAATATAAGTGCAGAAGCAAACCCTCCAAGACCACTCTCACCCCTTTCTGGTAAGGGGGAACATGGCAAACACACTTCTTAGTACTTTTTTT